ACAAAAAGTTAAATGTTGTCTTCAGCAGAGTAAACTCCATAGGAAACCTAACACCATTCCCATTCAGTCTCTATTCTTATGGCTGACAGTGGTCTGACTCATAAGAATGAATAAATGAAAAAGATAAATTAATAAGCAAACAAATAAATAGGGTTTGCTAAATAATGTGGTAACCCATATTATGTAAGATGAGTAAGTGGAGTTAATTAACAACCCTAAATATCAAATATTAGTTGCAGTTTTCCTTGAAATCCTAAGATCTTTTAAAAGTACTACACTATATATCAGCATTTCTTATAAATTATTTTAAGAAAATAATTGGAGTGGAATGGAGGAATGCATCATGAAATACGACCCAGCCAATTAACCCAAATGATGGTGCTATATTACAACCAGTTCTTACAGAATCATTACATAGGCACATCACTACAACTATTCATTGAAAATTTGCTCATCCTAATTATCATTGGAGGAAGGGTGTACTATATGTGGAAAGATATGTGAAAAGAATAATGTAGTTACAAACCTGGTTCTTTTAAACTCTCACCATAGAACTATAACCTTGGCAAACCTCTCAGTCTCTCTTCCTCAGTTTTCTCAAATGTAAAGTGGAAGTATTGTTCTCATGTTGAAGAGTCATTATAAAGTGGATGAGAATATTTGAAAAAAATCTTCCTAGAGAAATGCCTTTGAAATAATTTTTCAAGGTATTTTCCTGGTAAAGCATTTATTATGGAAATTATAATGAAATATGTATCTTGCCTAGACTAGAGTCAATGAATGGTATTTTTCTGAATACCCAATTCACTGCTTCCCATTTAATCCTCAATCCCATAATTCATTACTCTTTTTATTTTTATTATTAGTTACACTTTATTAACTCTGTATTCCAGCTTATCCCACTCCCTCATTCCCTCCCAATCCCACCTTCCCTCCCTCATCTCCTCCCTTCCCCTTTCCAAGTCCACTGAAAGGACCTCCTCCCCTTTCATCTGATCCTGTTTTATCAAGTATCTTCAGGACTGGCTGTAAAGTCCTCCTCTGTGGCCTAGCAGGGCTGCTCCTCCCTTGGGAGGTGGGGAGGTCAAAGAGCCTGCCATTGAGTTCATCTTAAAAAAATGAATATCCCACCATTTACCTGCAAATTTCATGATTTCCTTATTTTTCATTGCTGAGTAATACTCCATTGTATAGATGTACCACAGTTTCTACATCCATTCTTCAGTTGAGGGGCATCTGGGCTGTTTCCAGCTTCTGGCTATTACAAATAAAGCTGCTACAAACATGGTTGAGCAAATGTCCTTTTTGTGTACTTGAGCCTCTTTTGGATATATACCTAGGAGTGGTATGGCTGGATCTTGAGGAAGTGCTATTCCTAGTTGTCTGAGAAAGTGCCAGATTGATTTCCAGAGTGGTTGTGCAAGTTTACATTCCCACCAGCAGTGGAGAAGGGACCTGGAAAGGATCATCCTGAGTGAGTTGTCCCAGAAGCAAAAAGACACACACATGGTATATACTCACTCATATAATCATACAACATAGAATAAACCCACTAAAATCTGTACATCTAAACATACTAAGCGAAATAGTGGACCCTAACTAAAATGTTCAATCCCCATCCTGAAAGGCAAAGAGGATGGACATCAGAAGAAAAAGAAAACAGGAAACAACCTAGGAACCTGCTACAGAGGGCTTCTGAAAGCCAGAAGAAGAAAACAGGAAACAACCTCGGAACCTGCCACAGAGGACCTCTGAAAACCTTTGCCCTGCAGACTGTCAAAGCAGATGCTGAGCCTGATGGCCAACTGACAGGCAGAGTGAATGGAATTTTATATAAGAAGTGGGAAATAGTAAGACCTGGAGAGGACAGGAACTCCACAAGGAGAGCAACAGAACAAGAAAATTTGAACACAGGGAACTTCCCAGAGACTCATACTCCAACCAAGGACTATCCGTGGAGATAATCTAGAACCCTGACAATGCAGCCACTTCTGATGAGAACTGATAGACTAAGATCAGAGAGAAGGAGAGGAGGACCTCCCCTATCAGTGGACTTGGGGAGGGGCATGCATGCAGAAAGGGGGGGGAAGGGTGGGACCAGGAGGGGAGGAGGGAGGGGCTTATGGGGGGATACAAAATGAATAAAGTGTAATTAATAAAAGTTAAAAAAATGAATCTCAGTTATCATAAGGGTAGGTTTTCAAGTCTTCCCAAGAGGTGTTACTTATTATGATTGACTAAATTACTAAGTCATAAAGAAATTTTATCTATATACTGATTCTTTGTTGAGTCATTTAATTAAATTCATGTATTATGAACATGTTTTTAAATATTTTTAATATGTTAATCAACTTTGTATCCCAGCTGTATCCTGCTCCCTCCTTCCCTCTCAACCCCACCCTCCCTCCCTTATCTTCTCACTACCCCTTTCCAAGTCCACTGATAGGGGAGGTCCTCCTTCCTTTCCACCTGACTTTAGCTTATTAGGTATCTTCAGGACTGGCTGCAAAGCCCTCCTCTGTGGTCTAGAAGGACTGCTCCTCCCTTGTTGGGGGACGGGGGAGGTCAAAGAGCCAGCCATTGAGTTCATGTTAGAAATATTCCCTGTTCCACTTACTAGGGTACCCACTTGGATACTGAGCTACCATGGGCTACATCCGAGCAGGGGTTCTAGGTTATATTCATACATGGTCCTTGGTTGGAGATAGAGTCTCATAAAAGATCTCTGTGTCCAGATATATTTGGTCCTTGTGGAGTTCCTGTCCTCTCCAGGTAATATTAACTCCCCCTTCTTTTATATGATTCCCTGCACTCTGCCGAAGGTTTGGTTATGACTCTCAGTATCTGTTTGATACACTGCTAGGTAGAGATTTTCAAAGGTCCTTAGTGGTAGGCTGTGGTCTGTAACTTGTTTTGTCCTACCACCAATGTTGATCCTCTTTGTCTTTCTAAGGGAGGGTTGATCATTTTACCCCGGGTCCTCTTTCTTGTATGAACATACTTTTATCATTTAAAATCTAAAGCAGGATTGATTTTGTAGCACTGGTGGTGAGTCTCTCACAGCGACTATCCACGCATAAATTGACTTCTCCGTGAGATTGCTTTGGAATGAAGCCTGTTAAAATTGTTGACAACTGAATGGCTTAGCTCGTGGTGTTCATCTTGTATAGCTTTCCCTATGAGTCCCCAGGTGTTGTGTCACCCCTTCCCACTCTCACATTTTTCCCCTCAACTGTTTTTTCAGCTGCACTGGGAAGCAGTCTTTGGAAGGCTCCTGTTTCCCTTAAAACCTCCTCCTGAGTCACCCTGAGGAGAGGCCTCTTGGGTATACAGGTTTCCTGATCTGACAACTGCTAGTGTACCCAGTGTTTTTAGGAAAATAGACAAATGTGCAACCACGTTTTATAACTTATTTGTGTCCTAAACACCAATATTTTTTTTCTGTTCCTATGTTTGAAGCCATTACTCCTGGCATAATCTGTAATTTTCTTTCCCTTTCTTGGACGTGAAACTGAGGCCAAGCAGTCTCCAAATGGAAATTAGGTAATATTCTGTCTTCTTAAAACATACCCACAAAATACACTCTTACTTTGTTTGGAGACAGTTACATGCCAAACTTATCAGAAAGTTCACAGTTGTGCACAGGTATTTAAAAATCTCCCCTAGAATTGCTTTAAATGTTTTGTGATATGCTCATGAATGTCTGATCTAGAATTTCATTGGCTCTCCTCAATCAAGATTAATAATTAAATGCTATGTATTTTTTCTTCCCATCTTGAAAGTTGAGAAAACATAATTAAATCTATGGCAAAATGTTGTAAGTATTATTTTTGGGAAAGAGTATCAATTAGAAGTTAAAAATCAATATTAACGATTTCTACATGAAAATTGTGAAAACACTTTTTCTACAGTCAAGAAAATGTTTCTTTGTGTTTGCTACTGTAATCTTGTTGCAAAATACCATATGACAATCACCTAAGCATTTTATTTTCTAAGTGAGAAAAGATTAAATGTGAAAAACTCAACTATTTATAGTATATAATATCTTAAAGGAAAATAGTTTTATAATGGTGGTTTCATTCGTTATATAAAATGAAGCTTAGCAATCAGTAGAAATAATAATATAGGTAGAAAATGATGCAATTGAAACCACAACAGTGATTCAATATACATATATACGGATATGCTTTGCTTATACATTCAACCTATATTTAACAACATAATAAAAGATAATAAAGCATTGAGTTTATTGCCTTAAGTCAAAATAATGTAACCTTTTATTAGAAGCTCTTATCAGCTTTGTGTTTACATAAATTGTATGGATGACATATGTTGGATATTTAAAATAACTTGATATGTTAGCTTATTAGGAAGTTCCAGTGTAGTAGACAATGGTGTCCATTTGAGCATATGAAATTAAATATGCTTTGGTATTGCATGTGCAGTATCGATAAGACTTGGCATATCTGAGATCAAACCCGTAAGTAAAGAAGAATTTCAGACAGAAACAGATATGTGACAATGTTTTTGGCTTAGAAATAAAAATATAAGTATAACTGAGGGAACATATAAGGTAAAAATAACAGTGTTTAAAGAAAAAACCTGGGAAATTTAAAGTAACATTTTATCATCGTCTATCAAGAGGCCCGTTTTTAGGCCCAAGCACGAAGAGCAGCCAAGGAATCTGGGATGTGTCAGACTAACACCTTTGGGGTGAGAATAGCTGAAGACAAAAAAAAAAAAAAAAAAAAACCAAAAGTGTTAAAGATGAGAGCTATGGAGACACAACTCAGGTGCAAATAGGACAATAAAACCCAGAAGAAAAAAAAAAAAAACCAGGAAAAAAGGTAAGGAAAGGAAAATAAACTGGAAATAGAATAATGAATTAAGTTCAAGGTATAAAGAAAAGGGGAGAGGAGGAAACAGGGCAAGGAAAATGAAGTTGTTGCAGCAGGGATATGCCAAGGAATCATCTTGTGAATCTTAGACCTCGACATCAGCTAGCCATAGTTGATAAAGTCAAATGTATATAACAGCAGGTTGACACCGGTCAAGATGGCCACTGTCAGTTTGCGGTCCCAGCTACACACTGTGTAGGAGCCACCGCAGCTTGAATCCTTTCCTCGATTGGGCTGGCCACGAAATCCCGCACTGAACTGGTACAGAGGCCAGAGGACCATGGCGGTGGAGTACAAGAGGACACATATGAAAGATATGCTTCTCAAGAAGTTGGGGAAGGTGATGGTAAAATTCCCCAAGGTCGGCAGGATGACCATCATGGTTAGGATGAAGCTTATGGAATACATGGCCACACACCATTCCAGGGCAGGTTCGTGCCTGTACAAGTATCGGTTGCTGAGGAAAGCAAAGATGAGGCAGGCTATGAAAGACTCAATAATCTTGAGCATCCCCGGCGGAGTGGTCATGTAGCTAGCACCATGACCAGGCCTTTCCAGAGTCCAGATCACTTCTGTCGCGTAAGCCAAGCAGGCGATGCAGGAGAAGATACTGGCTCTGATAGCCTGATTTTTGCCGTATCCATGGGACATGAACTTCACAAAGGTGGTAGGATAGATGATGGAAGATGTCAGACAGAAGAGGGTGGCATAGCAGGCACAGGTGATGGGGATTTCCAGCCAAGCCTTGGGGAAGCGGCTGTGCAGTCCAGTCAACTCCACAATCAGGATTATCAAGGTCACGAAGAAGCTGAAGAACCAGGAGAACAGGCACCAGTTGCCCATGGGGCCCGCCCAGGCTTCCATGTGGACCACTATTGAGAAAGTCACGCAGGAAGATGACAGCTGCAGCAGACGAAGAAGGCCCAGGGCCCGGAACAGGGCCTGAGGGGAACTGACAGTAGTCATAGACTCGAGGCCTGGGGTTATAGATGTCGTAATTTTGGTGTGGATCACCTTTACTGGCATCTAGCTGAGGACCGGACAGAGAAAGTTCCGGATTGTGAAGAAAGATTGACTCTCAAACTTGAAAAAGTCTGGTTAGAATACGTTCCCAGACCATGGCTTCTGAAGTTGTTCATGCCGTTGGTCTTTCAAAGCTCCTCAAAGTGAAAGCGAATTTGTGTCTTAGGCAGTTATGCGTGTTTTAAAGGCGGTAGGGGTTGGGGGTTAGGAAGTACGCTCTGTACTTCCCCTTTAAGTAAAAAAAAAAAAAAAATTCCATAAAACTCCGGCAGTCAATAATTTACAGCATTGCTTGAGGCTTTAAGTACAGACCTTCAGTTCCTAAACCGCTGCCAGACTTGGAAATTGCTCAAGAATTTTTATCAGGCTTATTAAAATCTCATTACCTAGAGTCCATCCTAAAGGAAGCAAGAAATGGATGGATGTCTTTTCTCCCCACTCTCTTCTGTGTATCAAACGACAACACAACACACACACACACACTCGCAACTAGGTGGAAAAACCACATTGTCTTAAAGACAACTCTGAGTATTTTAGTGGGACAGCTATGGTGTCCCTCATGTCTTGGTGTTAAAAATGGACTCTGCTAGGTTTAAAGGCTTTATAAGGCTTTTTAGAAAACTTTTTTTCCTAGTTCTAAAAGAAGATCACTAAGTAGCCTTATTATTATTTTATCGGCTCTTTGCGATAGGTTCTCATTTAGCCCAGGTTAGCTTGAAACTTGATATGTAGCTAATGCTGGATTTAAATTCTTAATTCCCCTATCTCAGCCTCACAAGTGCTGAAATTAAAACTTTTTTTGTGTGTGCCACTATTGTAGCTCTATTCTTCAATAAGGAAGTTCCTTAGGAGTTATTTTTTTCTTTCTTGAGTGGATGGGGCGATAAGGGTTAAGGATAGCAAAGGAATGTGCTGCATATATATGTGTCAGTGTTCTAGTATTTTCTAGTTTTTTTTGGTTTCCTGTGTGGTATTGACATGCTTTATGTAACACACATTCACACATATATAAATATCTACACATAAATGTATAAAGAATATTTTTTTGCTTTTATTAATTCTTTGAGCTTTGAGTTTCTATAGCTTCTGTTATAAGTCATAGAATTCTTGTCTTATTCTTCTTTAGCCAAACTCATCACCTTTAAAAAAAAAATCTCAATATAAAGATAACATGAAAAATATTCAATACTACTGATAACTATGTAAATTCATTGTGGCCACAATAGCCAAGCAAAATCAGTGTTTCATCTCCTAGAGTTAGTCTTAAGTCAAATCAGAGAGTGGTCAATTATCCCAAGGTCTGTCTTGCCACTAGTGTATCGGTGGACATTTTCTTTCAAGCCCGCCATTACTGTAGCTTACAGTGCTCACAGATGATTAAGATGAAAGATCACATTTCTCCTCCAGTGTTTCACAGCATTTTTCATCACTATGAATGTTAACCTGGATGGATGAAGTTTCTGTATCAATTCCACCTTAATTTCTTCATTTCCTGTGACTCATTTATGTAGTATTTTAAGCAGTAAGATTTTACTATCATTTTTTTCTTCATTCCTATTGTAGTATGTTTTGCTTGTGTGTATGTCTGTTTGACATGTGTGTGCTTGGTCCCTGTAGAGGTCAGAAGAGGGAATCAGGCACCCTGAAACAGAAGTTGCAAGCAGCTGTGAGCCACTGTATGGGTGCTGGGAATTGGATCTGGGTCCTCTGCAAGAGCAGCCAGTGCTCTTAACCTCTGAGCCATCTCTTCAGTCCCCATTGTCAAGTTCTTGAAGGTAATACAGAAGATGGACAATAGCTAATAGTGTTTTTTGGGGGGAGGGTTGGGGGGGTGACCTCTCAGGCCATCATCTGTAAAAAAGATAACCCTTTCTTGCAGCATGCTTTTTTATTTGTTAGTCAACACTTTATAGGTTAACTTCATTTAGACTCATTTTATATGTATATTATATATTGTATATCTTATATATGTTTATGTGTATATTTTAGGACACTTTTTTGTAAGTTTCCATATGACTTTTTCAAAAAGTATTTTTTGTTAATTATGCTTCCTGTATTTGTTCCTCTACCTTTACCTCTTAACCTTAACACCTTTTAAATCTTATTCCTTATTTGAAAACTAACACCCATGTCCCCTTGGTCATTGTGGAAAAGGGGGCAGACAGATGGTAAAAATGAGAGTCAGGAGATGTGGACTAGGAAACAGTCTTTTCTGACCATGACAGGGAGTTGCATATATAAACTCACTGAGGTTGTAAAATCATGTTCAAAATTCACACAAGGGCCAACAGGTAGTGTGTTGGTGGTTGAAAATTCCCACTCACTGGTGAGTATTTATTGGCTGCTGCTCCTAGCATGTTTACAACACATTAATGGATGACCAATAATTAAGAGTATATGAGCAGCACAAAATGAACTTAATGGTTTGGAAAATAAGACTGATACTCTAACCAAGGACCACTGCATAGGTATAGCCCATGGCAACTAAGTCTCCAAATGGGTTCCATAGTAAAAGGAACAGGGACTGTCTCTAACTTGAACTCAGTGGGTAGCTCTTTGATCATCTCTTCCTGAGAGGGAGAGGAAGCCTTACCAGACCACAGGGGAAGACAATGCAGCTAGTCCTGAGGAGAACTGATAGGCTAAAGTCAGATGGAAGGGGAGGAGGACCTCCCCTGTCAGTGGATTTGGGGAGGGGCATGGGAGAAGAGGGAGGGAAGGCAAGATTGTGAAGGGAGGAGGTAGGGGGCTACAGCTGGGAAAAATAGTGAATAAATTATAATAATAATAAAAAATAACCTCCCCTTGAAGTGGGGGGCAGCCTCATCAGGCCACAGAGGAAGACAATGCAGCCAGTCCTGATGAGACCTGATTGGCTATAGGGTTAGATGGAAGGAGAGGAGGACCTCCCCTATCAGTGGACTAGGGAAAGGGCATAGGGGTATAAAAGGGAGAGAGGGCAGGATTGGGAGGGGCAGAGAGAGAGATCTACAGCTGGGTTACAAAGTGAATAAATTATAATAAATAAAAAAATAAATTAACAAAAAGGAAAAAAAGAGAGACTAAACCAAGATAGAAAATTATGTGCATGTGAAAAGGGTGGATCTGGGAAGATTTGTGGGAGAACACTAAATATGAGCAAAATATATTGATTGCATGAAATTCCGAAATAATTAATATAAACGTAATCTGTATTATTATAAAACTTTCTTTATGTGTCCATGATATTTATTTTGTGTGTGTATGTGTGTGTAGGTGTGGGTGTGGGGGCGCACAGGCATGCAGGTTTACACTGGCCTTCAAAGGGCAGCTTCCAGTGTTGGGCTTTGGTATTTGACCTAAGGCCTACTCCATGAGAAGGAACTCATAGCTTACAGTGTTTGGGTAACCAAGAATCAGAGATATCGCAGAGACCTAGAGTAAAACCAAATACTACTAGTCACAATAAACAAATAAACAGACAAGTAAATAAATAAAGAAAATGATTCCTAATGATACTCTCCTCTACTTATAGATCAGTGTTTCATTTAGTCATCATCTGAAACTCCCTCTTGCGGCAGATGACAACAGATGCCCAGACCCTCAGGCAGACGCTGAGGAAGAGAGTCTGAATTGGATGTCTGTCTTCATCAGATCAGATCAGCTCAGAACCAGGATCAGATCATGACCTCAGGGAAGAGGAGTCAGAAAACATGTAAGTGTCAGAGGAGAGAGGGAACACCAAGAGAACAAGACCCTCTGAATCAACTAGGCAAATCACATATGAGCTGTCAGAGACTGGAGCAGCAGGCAAGGGACTTACAGGGGTTTGCAAACGGTCCTCTGCATATTTTAGCGATTAACTTAGTAGTTTTATAGGACTCCTCAGTGGATATCTGATACTTGAGTATGCTCTTGGGATTCTTTTCTTTCTCTTGGTTTGCTATTTCCAGCATAGATATGATAGGTTTTGCTTCATCTTATTATATTTTATTTTGTCCTGTTTGATTGTTATCTCTTAGAAGCCTGTTCTATTCTAATGAGAGGTAGGAAGGGTGTGGATCTGGAGGGTGGGGGGTGGTGGCAAAGAACTGGGAGGAAAGTATAATCAGAATTTATTGTTTGAAAAAAGAATCTGTTTAGCAATAGCAAAAAAAAAAAGAGCTTAAAGCAAAAAAAAAATGATTAAAAATAAACTTAGGTACTGAAGAGTTACTAAAGTGTATGCTCCATTTACATCAGGTAGGGTGCTAAAATTTTATTGAAAATTATCATCAACATATTCATAATAACCAGAGAAGTCAATCATGGGAAATGATGGGCGTTGCTAGAGCAGAAATACAGAAAGTGATTCTGATTATCTTATAGAAAAAGAACACTGCTAGAAGTGTTTACGTGCAGTTACTTCAATTGCCAGTGAAAACAAACAAACAAACAAAACGCTCTTTGGCAGAATATAACTGAATGTGTGGAATAACATCAACAACAACAACAATAAAAAATCGAGAAAGAATTCGTGATTAATTGTTTGGAAGAAAAATAAGCCATTATCAGTCAAAATGTTAGTCACATCTCAGTGTGAGGTAATCAGAAGTTAACATAAACGAGAATGTACAGTTGTCACAAAATCTAAAACATTTGGGGCACTATTTTGCTGTCAGGAGAGAAAATGCTGTTTCTGTCAGACTACAGCAACATCTCCTTCAGCTACTTCGCTGGTCCGATCATGTTTCATTTATAGTGTTATCAATGTGAGGTTTTTGTTCCTTTCATATTACTTAAGCAGCTACTTACAACTAAAATCTTGGTTGCTTTTGTTTTGTAACATATCACATGTAAAGAGTTGTTCATACACAGATAAATACAGACACAAAGAAAGAAAACAATTCTCACCTTATAGGAAATAAGATATAGTTTATTCTGGAGACATTTAGAATGAGCATGGCTGAGGAACACAGGGTGCACCAAGTTTCATGTTTCAACTTGGAGAAAAACAAACAAACAAAAAAAGATATAAATTAAGG